CTCAGGGGTCTCCAGAAGGTTCTTTCAGATTTGTTACTTACACCATACATGGCGTCATCGACCTTTGTCATATTTTCGATCTGTTTGTTCATGAAGTCCCAAGTGTTTTGATAGCCTGGAGATCTGTCTTCACACATGTAAAGTTCTATATGGTTTAAAAGCATTTCAATGATAAGTGCACTGTGTTGGGCACAATATGGTGAACTTGAACCTGTATTCAAATGTATGATAGGGATAAATAGTTCCTCAGATTATAGTTCAATCAACAGCCTTTTCAAGTGAAACCCTAAGGAAGCCATTTTTGGCCAGAGCCTTGTGGAATTGGACCATATATTTATAGTTTAATAGTATATGAATGTAACAGGCTTAAGGGATTGCTTACCAGTTGCCAAATACGCAGCTGCTACTGACCCGCGTCTTACATACCAATCGACCTAAAAGTGGTACATGGAAATGTAGATTTGTTATAGTCATATTCAGGCAAATTCTTGAAGCTGTTTAATATATCGTGTATCTCACATTGGTGCACTTGTCTCCTGATAGATAGCGAATCTCATCTGCTAGGCTTCCAAGCTTTTGCGAAGAAAATAATAGATTCTGTGGCTGAGCAAGAATACCACATGCCTGGATGAATTTTGTACATAGTCAGTTAGATTGCAAGCATTGCAGGTAGTATGCGAGTATAATCTTTGGATGCATAGTTACCTGTGGCCAGTGTGGCAAGTAAGGGATGGTCTGCTCGAGTCTCGCTTTGAATAGAAGCGACAGTTTGTCATGTGTGCTGGGACTATAGGAAATTGTAATTCCAAAAGTATATTTGTAGGGGCTAATTTGTAAACAGCAGTGTTTTGCTTTAGGTTTATTGTATGTAATAATGGATCATACCTGGTTGCTATCTGTTCTTTGGTTTGCTCCACCATGCTATTCTTGGCTGTGGTAAAGAAGTGATCCAGGAGATCAATTTCGCCATTCTGTACAATACCATGAACTGCCGGTGTGTACCCTAGGTCCTTGGAGGCTTCGATTATTGGTTTGGTGCTCCACCCATTTTGCTTTACTTTTTCCAACGCCCTATCGAGTATGGCTTTACGAACAGATTCTCCGCTATTGCTATAATAAAATACGATGCTTTAGTAACTTTCACTGAGTTATATAGTAGATTATGCCAACTATTTACCTTTTTGTTGATAGTGGTCTAGATCGGAAAGCAAGCGATCTTGAGACTTGTGAAATAGCAATGACGCTTCGCTGTCTCAAAGTATTCATGTTTGCAATTTGAAACTTATGAAGCAACGATAAGTAGGATACTTAAAGGGTTGATAAACAAAACGATGATTGCAAATTTGAAAAGGTTCAAACAATTCTTTTGAATAATGGGATTGATAGTGAATGTGGTGATGTAGTTAATAGAAATGTTGAGATAAAGAGGCATGATGATAAATTGCTGTTGATATATAGCACGGGTTTTCAAATAAGCATTATGTAGGAATATGTTAAGTAAACAATGATATGATATAAGTTTTAGAAAAATAATATAGTGTAATAAATAACTTACTATTGCTGTAATTGTTATAATTATAGCCGACATTCGTATATGACAGCCTGAAAAAAAAGACATGTCGCGTCCGCGATCATTTGGGCGCTACTTCTCAACCTGTTTCAAACGGGTTTTATTTCAATCATACCAAATTCATATATTCTATACCCATAATAATGATATTTTCTATCATTATTGTCTGATAGACAAGCCTCTCTTTCTTTCTTATTTTTATTCACCTTATTCACCCTAATGGTATGAAATACCATTTTTTTCTTTCTATTTTATCATCATTGACGACTATTTAATTGCAGTACAAAAGCCCAAGAAAAATAAATAACCAACAAAAGCACCTAAATATATCTCTCTCCCTATCTTTTCCAAATTTTCCCTAACTATTTTTTTGTATAAATAGTTATACCCTTTTTCCACTTTTTACTTTCTTTAGCAACTTTCCCTTATTTTATTCTTTTTAATAAACTTTTAAAACTTATCTATTAGTTTATTATTATAAATATTCTGGTTATAATTGCTCCGAGTTAGCACCGATACCTGTTACGTTAAAATATCTTCGTAGATCGTCGTTACGATCTTATATCTTAGATCTTGGTATAGATCTTCATCATCTGCCGTCATCTGGTCTGTACTTTACTAGCCACCAGTTTCTCTCTGTTATTCAGTCTCATACCCCCCCCCGTCATCGTTAGTATTGCTATCTATTAGTGATCAGCAGTATTTGTTTTGTCTGTCATATTATATATTGACATTTTCATTTTCCGCCCTCCCTTAATTTTTATCAGAAGCCTCTGATAAGGTTTTCCCTCCTCCGTCCCTCCCCCCTGATAAATCCCCCGTCACTCTAACAGCAAAGTGGTCTCAATATTCTTATATTGTATTACAGTCTACCACTTAGTACTTGTTACCTCAGCCTCCTTATTTTCTGATCCATCCTGAGGCCTTATTACTCATAATCAACCAAGATTGTAACAGACAGAAATGGTTGGATGGCCGAGTGGTCTAAGGCGTTCGGCTCAAGTCCGAATCATCATCTGATGGCGTGGGTTCGAATCCCACTTCAACCATTCTTTTTTGGTTTTTTATTCGCCCTCCGTTTTCATTGGAATCATTATTTGTTTTTCTTGTTATATTAACGGGCTTGTCATATATTTTTTGTGACAAGCAAAACTTTATTATACATGTAATCCAAGTTCACAATAATGCATTGAAAATTTATAAGGCCCCTATTATTTGCAAAAAAATGAAAATCCACCTCCCATATATTGATGTTGCATTACTGCCAGCTGCTCTTTTACCTATTCTTGACTCCATTAATTATAAAAACAGTATAACTTTGCAAATAGATTGCTTAGGATTCGGTTCTGTCCCTTACCTTGAGGTCCATTTATTTGTTTAAATAATTGCCCGAAACGCATCATACCCTTTGTTCATAATTAAAAACAATTCAACAGCTATATGGACACTTATTTTTTTCAATTGCAACATAATACTGATATTGAATATACTGAAAAGCATTTGTACTAAATGTTTGCAGGTACGTAATTCTGTATGGAAGTGCTTACAAACCTGCGGTTAGTATGGTGTGCTTTCTGGTTTATGATATCAATGATAAGCCAGGCTAAAAAATTTAAATACCACCACTTCTTCCTTCTTAAGTCCAATTGTCCTATAATCATTGTCATAATACTCACTATCCACGAATATCGTCTTCTCTGATAAATTCTCAACTATAGAAGCACAGTCGAAATGTATCTCACCAAGCCCCTAAGTGTGGTCCTCGTCGCTCTTACTGCCATGAGCTACTCCACCACAGCTTCACCTGTAGCCTCTGCCGATGGAGCCCAGGAAATGAATGCCCAGGCTGTCAATCAGGTCGACCGTGCAGTCATGAATCAGCTCATCAGGTACTACTCCTTCCAAAATCGCAGCGGAGGTTTCTTCGGTTCACTTGGTGATGCTATTGGTAACATCATTGGCAGTGTTGGCGATCTTGGTAAAGGAATCATAGGTGGTGTTGGAAATGTTGGCTTGAAAGTTTTGAACGGTGCTAGCGATGTTACCAAGGAGGCCCTTCATGGTGTCGGGAATATCGGCGACGCCGTCCTTGATGATGCTGGCCATCTTGTTCACAATATCTTGCATTAATTGGTTTTCTGGTGCTCTATTGTTACAAACAAATACAATTTCCATAGAAATATCCTATTGATGTCTATCTTGTAACAATATATAATATAATGTAGCATTTATTAGTCTCAGTCAGGAGCTGGTGATTAACGCAACATTTTATATCAAAGGGAGATGCAGCCTATTAGGTCTTGTAGAAATGACTCCCTATCTATATATCTACTCTCTGAAAATATAGGCGTTACTATATAATATACTTTTTTGTACAACTTCCTGTAAAACTATTTCAATACAAGATAGGTGGTATAGCAACTTATATATATTTCTTTTGGATACCACCACAAAGTTACCATATTGGGCTTTAGACAATCTATTTAGCTAACATTAAAAAATCAGGCCAAATTGGAACTCGTGATGAGTCTGTTACAAACATAGTACTACTTAAGGCTACTCTAAAATGTTATCATTCTACTTTTTTGTGACCGTCTCGGTTGGTACAGATGCGGTTGTGGTTGGATAATATTTTATTCTTTCACCAACAAGCCCACATAAAACGCCCTGGGCTATTCCAATTATACCACCGCTTTGAGCCAAAACTTGGTTTACAACATCGCTTATGTCAATATGTTTAACAGCTTCGAGGGCATCGTTGCTGACCTTCTTAAATGATGGGGATCTTTTCACCATTTGCCTGTGGACGTGCTGGGCAATTGTATGAACAAGGTTATGTACTTCCGGAGGAACATCTTGTACTTGGTTTTGAAATACATCCAATCCATTTGGTTCGCCATTTAGACTATTGTTTGCTGATGCTAGTAGGGAATTGCTAATTAGTCCAACTGCACATACAGCGGTTGCTAGCTTGCTAAAAATATGCATTATGGAATCTATAACGATAATGATAATTATAAATATTTAAAGTAAAGAGAACAATTGTATTCAAAATATGAGAGAAACACCAACTTTAGTTTGTGTGTGTATATATATGACTTGGCATCCATCATGATATATGTTGTGCACCGGTGGTATTCACTTATGAAAACGCAGTCATTGATTCAAAACCAAATGCCCCAAATATGCATTTATTTTCATTGAATTGAAATAAAATAAAAGTATATTACTGTCTATTAGTTGTTTATGCAATTGATTTATTTGTTTTCTGAATATAGCATTTGATGAAAAAAGTTAAAATAGTAGAACTATTCAAGAAAATATTTGAATCACCACTTTTATTTTTTTTATCAATTGAATGAAATGAGTAAACCCCTAAGTAAAAGAAGGCCCTACAAAAAGGAATATGAAAATAAAAAACAAAAAAGAATGGTTGAAGTGGGATTCGAACCCACGCCATCAGATGATGATTCGGACTTGAGCCGAACGCCTTAGACCACTCGGCCATCCAACCATTTCTGTCTTTTTTTTCAGGCTGTCATATATGAATGAAGATCTTTTTTTGGTGTTTTAATAGTTTCTTTCTTGATCAGCCTTCTTGATCAGCCTTCTTTATTTTACCTTCTTTTTATTACTTATTAGTTGGTTTGTATCAACAAAAACTAGTTTTATTAAATAACAAGTTAAAAACAAAATATTATGGAGGACATATCGAGTTTTTATACTCTTTAATACCTTCTCCCGTAAATTTAGTTACCTTACCATCAGCACACACCCACATTTCTGTGCAGACAGAGTCAATGAATCGCTCATCGTGAGATACTACAACAACGCCGCCCTTAAATGCCTTGAGGGCTTCTGTGAGGGCATCCATTGATTCCATATCAAGATGGTTAGTAGGTTCGTCAAGGACAAGGAAGTGAGGATTTTGTGCGGCTAGACAGGCAAAGGCAACGCGGGACTTTTGACCACCTGAGAGTGTCTTGATTTGCTGCAGGCCAGTCATTCCAGAGATACCGAAAGCACCAAGCATGCGGCGATATTCTTCTTGGCTCTTTCCAGGGAATTGCTTGGTCATATGTCCCACGGCAGTGAGATTGACGTCGAGTTGATCAACATGGTGCTGAGTGAAGTACGCAATTCTCAATCTGCCATGGCGATGGACCAGACCAGAGCTTGGCTGGAGATGACCAACCAAAAGTTTGAGCATGGTTGTTTTTCCTGCACCGTTGGGACCAACAACAGCCACACGGGCATCCATTTGCATATCAATGTTGACATTGCCTAGAATCTTTCTTTCTGCCGAGTAGCTGAATTCAACTTCGTCCATGTACAAGACCGGTGGGGATATTTTGTCTGGGTTGGGGAACTCAAACGTAACAGCCTTGTCGTCATCTGGTGGGGTGAGTACCGGCAGTTTTTGTAGAATTTTAATCTTCATCTGAGCCTGTGCTGCTCTGTTGGCATTGTATCTCCAGCGGTCAATGAAGTCTTGTAGATGCTGTCTGTATTGCATCTGCGTTTCATATTCGCGGATCTGGTTCTTCCTGCGTTCCTCGCGTGTTGACCAGAACGATGCAAAGTTACCATGGTACTGATCGAGTCTTTCGGAGTGCTGGTGGATAATGTCTGTGGCAACCTCATCAAGGAATTCTCTGTCGTGAGAAACAACTAGGAGTGAGTTTGGCCAAGTGGCCAGGTATTTTTCAAGCCACACGACGGCAGGAATGTCAAGCATATTTGTAGGTTCGTCAAGAAGCAAGAGGTCTGGTTTGCAGAAGAGAGCCCTAGCAAGTGACAGTCTCATACGCCAACCACCAGAGAAACTCCTGGTTGGCTTTTCAAAGTCCGTTGACTTGAATCCAAGACCATTGAGGATTTCTGCTGCTTTTGCTTCGGCTTCGTCTGACCCAATTTCTGTAAGTTTTTCAAGGACTGTGTTGAGCTGGTTGCCATATTCGCCCTTCTTTTCTTCAATTTCTTGTTTGCTCAGAGGATTTCCGTTGGGATCGAGGTATGTGCCATCCTCGAGCATTGCTAGCTTCTTATTTACATCAGCTTCCTCCGCAAGGAGTTGCTCACGGAAGATGTCAGCCTTGAGGACGGCTTTTATGGCAGGGGTGTCATCGCCATGCATTTCTTGCTCAACGTGGAGGATACTAATGTATGGAGGAACCGCAAGCTCACGACGAGACAAGTTTCTTAGGAGAGTTGATTTACCTATACCATTGCGGCCGATCAAACCATATCTACGGCCGTATGCCATTCGTAGGGATGCGCCTGTCAATATACGGTGGCCAGCAAAGGATATATCAAAGTCCTCAAGGTTAATATCCTTTGATTTTCCGCGAGTAGTGGTGTAATCCAAAATGGGATTGATCTTGAGGAGCAACTCTTCATCGTCGACTGTAGACTGCTCAATGAGCTTACTGGCCTCATATGAGCTACGAAGTTCACGTTTTTGAAGCTTGGCCGCAATTCTAGCCTCAGCTTTGCGAAGTTTTTCAGTATCGACCTGACTGGCAATATTGCGGCCCTTTGCGTGCGTAAGATCAGTACGCCTGGTCTGTCCAAGTCGCACAGCCTTTTCGATCTGGGCCTGCTGGGCGCGCATGCTGACAGGAGCAGACAATTTCGTGGGGCCGCCGTTAGACCCGCCATTTGCACTATTTTCAACCTTCTGCTTGCCAATTTGGGCAGCCTTTTCAAGCATTTGGGAGATTTGTTGACATGCGCTTTCCACATTGCTGGGCTTTCCACCGCAATCTTCAAGTATTGGACGGACAGCGTCGTTTACTGGATTTTCATCCTTTTCACCTTCAGCATCGTCGTTTGCTTGGCTGGAGTTGCTTAGCGTGCCAGTGGTCGAAAGAGTTGCTATGGCATCCATCAGATAGCCCTGCAAATATTTGACTATGGGCTCGTCAATGCCTGGTATGCATTTGGTAATCAGCGAAGAAACTTCGGATTCGCTAGCAATAGATTCGCTCATTATAGTAGTTAAAAACAAAGAGTAGATGTCAACTAGTTTAAATGCCAGCTCAAGGCTTTTTAAGGATATTTTATACCAAAATATTGAAATATTTGATTTCTGGTTGAGGTTCAAGAGCCCAAGACTGTTGTGGGTGATTAGGGGAAGTAATCAACGATTAGGGATGCATGGACTGTTTTCAAGGCTATCCGAAATACCGCCAATTATAATTGACATGCTAGCACTTGGTATTTCCTTTTTAGCTTTTCTGAAACTAATACTGTATTTCAATACCTTTTCTTTGTGCCCATTGTTTTCCTTTCCCGTCATTTCTTTTTGTATTTTGTAGTTGCGTACCTCAGATACTGTGGCTACGGGACTCACATTAATAGATATGAACGCTGTTCCAGCTTATCCCACAATGAGCTTGAACATGCCCATTGGAATGAGTGCAAAGAGCAGTCCTCCAGGTTTGAAACACGAAGCCGGCCAAATGGGCAACTCGGAATTGTTAGAGCGCACCTGCACAAAGCTTGCAAAGACATCGAGTATAGTCTTGGAGCTCTGCGAGTCTCTTCATGAAAATGCCGTTCGAAACGAGGGTAGAGCCAGGGAAGGCTCTTCAGCAACAACAATTTCAAATGCATTATCCAACGCTTGCAACATTCTCAAAGCTGAAAACCAATGCCAAGCGACTTACCAGGGCCTTTTGAAATCCATCAGGAGATCATTGGCGGCGTTTGCGTCAATTCTTCCCCAACTCACATCAAGTAATATACAGGATGCCGTAGTGCGTTCGGGGATACTAAACCTGCAATTAGCCATCATAGAGATAAAGCTTGCTTATGAAGAAGTAGCTGCTGTGATCAGCCAGAGTACCACTCCCCAAAAGCAATCATCATCGACTTTTCCGTCTGTGCAAAATAATGCTGTAAAGTCCATAGAAAAGCCATTGACGTTGAATCAAAAGACACAAGCAACAATGCTTACGAAAAAAGGTATGCAGGATACATCATTTTTAGCCTCTGGTCGACATGCTATCATAGCTGCCAATGCTCTTCTCCAAGCACTTTATTCATGTATCCAAGAGCATCCTTCCCTGGCTGCCTTTTCAAAAGCAGAAAAGGACTCGCTTAAACCTTCAGGCCCCATTAGTGTATCTCATACCGCCAGCACGCCTACCACTACAAATAATGGCAGCAGCCGTCATCGCAGAACGTACTCTGAGGTGCTGTCCTCTAACATCGAGGCTGTAAGGAGATCACCAAGCTCATTCCAGTATAACAGAAACCAGCGCTATACCAACACGAAGCGTCCCGGGGCCCCTATCAGCAAGCCAGATCCTGCTCACATACGCAATGTGTCAGACTCGCAAGTGATTCTAGAAGGAAATGGCTACACCGAAAACAATGGAGGGCCAACAAGATCAATTCTGCCTACTAATGATCACGGACTAAATAATTCAAGCAATAGTGTAGCGGTTGACAACGAAAAGCAAGCGCTGCCACAAAGGCCACTTCGGATGTCATCTGCTGACGAATCATCAAAGTCCAGACAAGTAAGATTTACTGTTTCTGCAGAGAAGAAGCAGCCACAAGACTCCGTATCAAGGCTAACCATTTCCTCTGTAGCTGCATTCGAAAGACTTATTGAAGCAACCAAGGCATTTGATACTGCATCAAGCAAGCTATCTACATCTTTGCACAAGTTCGAAACAACCAACAGGATGAAGCGCCAGGGTCGCAGCCACTCTGTCAACGAGTCTACAAATAAAAGCCAGCAAAAGACGCCTACATCGCACCCACGCCTACGTCGGATACATTCATCGTTTTCAGGAACAACAAATGCAAAACCACAGTCTGATAGCCCAGCCCACACATCTAGATTTCCAGCCATCAAACGAAAAGGTAGCTTGACTAGTACTATAACACCACAAGGAATATTGCTACTTCATCAACCGAAATCTCAAAGCAGTTTGATGTGTCCATCGCCGCCGATGCTTCCTCATTCGCCATTGGCTACTATTCGCGAGGTCGGAGATGACAAGGCACAAAGAGGTGGAGCCAAGCATGAATATCCGAATGCATCCAAGGAAGCTTTCCAGAAAGCATCCGAAGAAGCACATAGATCAGCTGTAGATGACTTGGCACAATCGAGTAACGGATTTTTGAGGGTAATTACAGCTCACCTCTGCACACATATGCGCGAGATTTTGTTATTAAATGGCGTTGTAACGCATATTAACTATTGGCTTTATATTGCTTTTTTGATATAGGCAATGATTGAACTTTCAAAAATTATCAAAGAGCCAGAGATTGTGAAAAGTCTTGATCAATCAGTTCTTGGACCATTCAAAAACTTGGCAAACAACTCAAGGCAGCTTGCAAAGGATCTTAAAATGGCAAACATAAAGCCAACTACTACAACTCCTACATAGATCATATTGTACTATTTATCAATACAGCCATTGTATTATTTTCATTTCTTAAGTATTATTATTATTATCATTGTTCCCTTTAAATTAAATCCCTCCTCTCAGATTC